CGTCAAGGCTCACAAACGGCGCCCTCGCCACAGCAAAACAGCAGGCCCCTGAAGGACGGACCGAGCCTCCGGGCAACGGCTCCCACTGCTTAACGTCGCTTTCTGAACCTACAAGAAAACTAGCTCTCTTCCAGCCGTCAAGGCTCACAAACGGCGCCCTCGCCACAGCAAAACAGCAGGGCCCTGAAGGACGGACCGAGCCTCCGGGCAACGGCTCCCACTGCCTAACGTCGCTTTTCTGAAACCTAACAAAAACTAGCTCCTTCCATCCTCAATGCTCACAAACTGCGTCCTCGCCACGCAAAACAGGCAGGCCCTGAGGACGACGAGCCTCCGGGCAACGGCTCCAAACTAGCTCTCTTCCAGCCGTCCCCAAGGCTGCACAAACGAACGGCGTCCCTCGCCACAGCAAAAAACAGCAGGCCCTGAAGGCCGGAACCGAGCCTTCCGGCAACGGCTCCCACTGCCTAACGTCTCTTTCTGAACCTACAAAAAAACTAGCTTCTCTTCCACCGTCAAGGCTCACAACCGGCGCCCTCGCCACAGCAAAACAGCAGGGCCCTGAAGGACGGACCGAGCCTCCGGGCACCGGCTCCCAAACTAGCTCTCTTCCAGCCGTCAAGGCTCACAAACGGCGCCTCCGCCCCAGCAAAACAGCAGGGCCCTGAAGGACGGACCGAGCCTCCGGGCAACGGCTCCCAGTGCCTAACGTTGCTTTCTGAACCTACAAGAAAACTAGCTCTCCTCCAGCCGTCAAGGCTCACAAACGGCGCCCTCGCCACAGCAAAACAGCAGGGCCCTGAAGGACGGACCGAGCCTCCGGGCAACGGCTCCCAAACTAGCTCTCTTCCAGCCGTCAAGGCTCACAAACGGCGCCCTCGGCACAGCAAAACAGCAGGGCCCTGAAGGATGGACCGGGCCTCCGGGCAACGGCTCCCAAACTAGCTCTCTTCCAGCCGTCAAGGCTCACAAACGGCGCCCTCGCCACAGCAAAACAGCAGGGCCCTGAAGGACGGACCGAGCCTCCGGGCAACGGCGCCCACTGCCTAACGTCGCTTTCTGAACTCTTCCAGCCGTCAAGGCTCACAAACGGCGCCTCCGCCACAGCAAAACAGCAGGGCCCTGAAGGACGGACCGAGCCTCCGGAGAAAACTAGCTCTCTCTGAGCTGTCTTCCAGCCGCCTGCCTAACGTTGCTTTCTGAATCGACAAGAAAACTAGCTCTCTGACCTGTCTTCCAGCCGCCTGCCTAACGTTGCTTTCTGAATCGACAAGAAAACTAGCTCTCTGACCTGTCTTCCAGCCGCTTGTTGCTTCCTGGCTTCTTGTTTCTTGCTTCTCTGACCTGTCTTCCAGCCGCTTGTTGCTTCCTGGCTTCTTGTTTCTTGCTTCTTGCCGCTTGTTGCCTGTAATTGCTTCTTGCTTCTTGCTTCTTCTTTCTTGTTTTCTTGCTTCTTGCCCTTGCTGTTTGTAATGACTTCTCTGACCTGTCTTCCAGCCGCTTGTTGCTTCCTGGCTTCTTGTTTCTTGCTTCTTGCCGCTTGTTGCCTGTAATTGCTTCTTGCTTCTTGCTTCTTCTTTCATGTTTTCTTGCTTCTTGCCCTTGCTGCTTGTAATGACTTCTTGGCCCTTGCTGCTGGTAATTCCTCCTCTGACGCGCTCCCCCTGCTGTCGGCAGGGGTCGGCGGATATTATGTTATCTTATGTTATATTACAAACTTTTGTATTATACTATACTATATAACAAAATACAATATAATATAATATGATACACAATATACAATATATAACACAATATCAGATCGAACACAATATATAATGTAAGATAACATTTTGTTAAATAATATTTGATAGACTATATAATGTAATATGATATGTGTATATATATATAATACAGTATATAATATATTATAATGTGACATAATACTACATAACATAATATAATATAGTATGAGACAATGAAGTATAGTATAATATAGTACAATATAATATATGATATGATATAATATGATATAATATACAATATATAATTTATAATATATAATATATGATATAATATATATATAACATAAAATATATGATGTATGATATATAATACATAAGATATGATATATGATATAATACAAACATAGATATGATTATACATATAATAAATTTAAATGAAATAAAATCAAACAAAATACAATATAATATAATACACATTTTCAATATAATATATAATATCATATAATTTATGATATATGATAATACAATGCAAAATTTCAACATAGTATAATATAATATGATATAATATAGTGTGATATAATATAATATGATATCATATAATATAAGATGATATGATATGATACAACATGATAGAGTGTATTAGAATAGAATATAGTATAATAAATAAGATGAACAACGAATATGTTATAATGGAATATGATTTATAATGTGTATATATATATATACATACACGTATTTCTATTTCCATGTATCTACACCAAAGGGCTGCTGCCCTGGTGCCGCGTTTCACACGTATTGTTATACCCATTATGAATGACCATGGTAACCATATACCATCTCTTGAAGCTATCACATATACATGTGAATGTATATATATATATATATATATGTATATATATATATATGTATATATATATATATTATGGGCCTAATCGAAAGCCATGAATTTGAAACTGTCCATTTTTTTCACATGACCAATGGGTTCTTCCTTTTTATTTTGAGCCTATCAGCTTCTGGGGGTCTTCATGAGAAAGAGGATAGGATACGATCTAGTGTGATGGCTAGGCTCAATGAACTCCCCCACCTGTAACGCTGGCACTGAAAGTATAGCAAAGAAGTCTGGCGTCATCGAAATTTCGTTGCCTCCGAAAGCAACCTCAAAAAAACTCGCTGAGAAACGGTGCCCAGGCTGAGCGCGAGCTGCGCAAAATCAAAGGCAACCGGCCCCAGGCTGGGCACATTCACGTTGTAAAGAGAAGTCACATTTGCAAAGGGCTCCTTCCAAAAGATGCTGTGATGTTGATGTTGATGTTGATGTCGTTGTTGTTCTTGTTGTTGATGATGATGATGCTGCTTGTAGTGGTGATGGTGGTGATGATGGTGATGGCGATGGTGGTGATGATGATGATGATGATGATGATGATGACTGATGATGATGATGATGATGATGATGCTGCTGCTGATGATGATGATGATGATGCTGATGATGATGATGTTGATGATGATGATGATGCTGATGCTGCTGGTGGTGGTGGTGGCGGCGATAGTGATGATGACGACGACGACAATGATGATGGTGATGATGGTGATGATGGTGATGATTTTGATGATGGTGATGATGAAGACGACGATGCACACACACACAAAATCTTTTACACACACACACATACTCAAAGCTTCTACGCACAGACGCCTTTTACTCACAGAAACTTTTACACACAGGCGCTTTTACACAGCAAACCTTCTACAGAAAAACTTTTGACACAGCAACCACAGATGCTCCTCCGGGGCACAACGCCCCAGACTCAGTTTGTGCTAAACGGCTAAACGGTCAATAGTTGAGTCTTTGCCTCGTCCATTCCTTGCTACGGAATTGTTTTCTTGCCATATTTTTTTCTTCTTTTGCATTTGATCCAGCTGAAATTGTACACTGAACCTTCCGTTCCTTCTCCAAAAATAAGATCAAGATCAGGGTTTTCTGGGTTAGTGCTGTTTCAGACGCTGGAGCTGCGACCAGGAGAAACCTCGAAAGGTTTGAGATTGATGAAGATAGTACATCATCAGATGTAACTAAAGTGTGACATCAGCCCGACTTTTTTTGTACATTGCGTGATTTGCAGTTGTGGACGCGCAGGTGTTTTCACTTATATACATCGTTACACAAGTAAATATATATAAATCTGTAGCTGCGTAGATGTTTTTACCTACATCTATACACGTGCGTTTGAACACGTGCATATATACAGTTGCAGATGAATGTTGACTGTATAGATGTTTTCACCTGCATGAATAAGCCTGTATTTGTACACTTGCATGTATACAGTAAGTACGGCTGTAGATGTGTAGATGTTATAGTTGAAGAATATGAATATGAAGATGGTGATGATGTTGTTGATGATAAACATCATGATGACGACGATGACGATGATGACGATGACGACGACGACGACGACGACGACGATGATGATGATGAACATGTTGAAACTGCATATTGGCAACGAAAACTTGGTGCAGTGCGCGGAGAAGAGGTAAAATTGGCTCAGAGATGCGCAAAGAAGAGGTTGTTCAGAAAAGCCGTATCTCAGAGAAACAATGGTTCAGAGACGTGATTCGTCTGTTTTCTGGCTGAAAAATGTAACTCAGAGCCAATGTGGTTCAGAGAAGGGGCGGCCCTGAGAGGAAATGATTCAGAAAAAGTAACTTAGTTTTTGAAGATCAGTCGGTCCTTGAGCCTTTACCCATTCATTCGTACTATGTTGTTGTGGCTGTTTCACGCACATGTTTTCAGTCATTCCATTAATCAAACACTGATGTCAGTCAGCAAGCCTTTCTATATATAGATCCGTCATTTCTTCTACCCATGTTCTTTATCGAAATTTGAGCATTGGCGCGACCGGGTACGATGTTGCAGGATTTGGATGTCATCGGGTACCCCAAATTTGGGTTCTTGGGATCATCCGCCTCGATCAGGACAGGTGGGCAGACAGTTACATCACGGGGGAGAGCAACCACTATTGGACGTTTGGGCGTGGGCCCCAAGGAAAATCCCGGGTGCTCAAATTTGTCGAAGCAAGAGCCATGGTTGCCAACAAACTCCGAATTGGGATCATGCAAAAGGAAATGCCAGAACCTGAATTCGCACATACCAAAACCTGAGATGACAACGAAAACCGTCATGGTCAAGGAGCTAAGTGACTTAGTCACATTTGTTTTGGGAAAAAACATGTTGATGTGATTGTGTACCTGGTCTCGCAACCCTGCCTCCCCTTTTCAAGGTGCGACTGCGCCTGTGGCAAACTGGTCTCTGGGCTTGAACCTGGCTTGGTGATACACTAACCACTAGATTTCGGGCGAACTTAATTTCAGACAAACCCAAAAAAATAGTGACTTGAGTGATTGGGCTGTCCTGATTGACAGTGATGCGTTGGCAACAGTGAGTTTAAACGCTCTAATTTGGGGCACCCTCCGGGAATCTTGGCTGCTGGGCGTTTCCGGTAAAACCATGAGGCCAACCATGACATGATTCGTTTGGCTACTGCAAGGTGCATACCCCATTTTAGAATTGAAATGCCAGTTTTCATGGCTAATTCATCGTGTTTGCGCACGAAATCCACATTTCGATTTCATACATCAAGGATCATTGTTGAAATCCATGTTGGTTAGAAATCTTTTTTTAACATTGCGCATGAAATCCATGTTTTTGTTAAAACTCCCATTTGTTCATGTCAGCGTTGCACCGCTTTAGAGGTGAACGAGTCGAGCTTTGAGTGCCGATCGCTTAACAAGGTGCCCCGGGATATATGGGAATGTGGTAAACCCAAGTATAAACTCCCCGTTTGTGGTATAGTTACATGTACATGTATATTATAAATGCACATATATATATATATACTTAATATACATAATATACATTTATGTATATATATATAAATAATAGACTTATATATATACATACATACATACATACATACATACATACATACATACATACATACATACATACACGTATTTACACATATATATATGTATAAACTCATACATATTCATACATATTATATATATATACATTTTGCATATATGTCTATTATAAATAAATAAATAAATAAATGGATAAATCAACGAATAAATATATAAGTATAAAATAAATACATATATATATATTATTGTTTATAACATAAGTGCCTGAAGTGTAAAAAAAAGTGAGTTGTCAATAGGATATTTTTTGAGGGTTCGCATCTAGGGTTGCAGATTTTTCCAAGAAATTTGATATTTACACCCACACATGTCAATTTTGATCTGGTAAGTGATGGTCTATAGACCATTTCGATTTGAGATCAAACTATTTTGGGGCCTCATGATTTACCCTCTGGTAAACTAACTATGGCAATGGAAAATCACTATTTTTCATGGACAAATCCACTATAAATGGTGGATCTTTCCATAGTTATGTAAACGTTTACCAGAGGGTAGCTGGTTCCTTATATCTACGCATATGACTCGACCATCGAGCGGTGTTTTGCCATAATGCCATCCCAGGCGATGGTCTGCCCAGAGCACCTTGGGTTCGCATCTCTTGACATAGCATGCACCAAGTTATTGCTCTGGGGAACCTGTTTTTTTAGGAACATCATTGTATGAAAGCATCAATTTGTAGACATTGTAGACGTTTCTTGCGAGTTTTCCATTGCCATGGTTGATTGCAAGAGGGTAAAAGTAGAGAATCCACCAGCGGAGTGTATCCCGAAGCCGTACAAACCTTGGGAGCTTGAGCTGGTCCTTCAAACTGACCGAAACGTCATTCGTATCTAGGTGCCAAATATCCTTTTGGGCGGTTCAAAAGCATTTCCCCAAAGTCAAGTAGTTTTTGGTGTACTGTTTGAACACCATAAGAACAACGACAAAAGAACAGAGGTTCATTGGTTAGTTCAAACCATTTGTGGACATTCTCCAAGATTTTTGCCCGCGGCCCACGCCCAGTGTCCGGCCCTGCTGCACAAAGTTGGAGGATTGTAAGCCGGAGGCCGTGGCAGCCGCGATGGCCGTACGGGGAAGATTCATTGTGGAACAAGCACCCAAAGTTGTGGGAATATTGAAAGAAAGTTTACTTCGAAAATTTCCAAGTTACGGACGATTGTCATGGTTAGCATTCCCACCACCACGTCAACCACATCATCATGTCAACCACCCATCATCAAGTAGTTGGGAAGTGTAACAGTTTGGAAGCGCCCTGTGTCTTTTAGGGTAAAGTGGCTTCCAGGGTCGCCGAAGTAGGGTCTCTGTTTCTGTGGGTATGGGCCTCGATCTGCGAAAGTTGTCGACAAAAAGTGCGCAGGACTATAGCGAGAGCTCGATTTGCATGTCAAATTGTTAAAAAATTGGGCTCAGAGCACTTTTAGAAGGTGAGGCTGGCAATGTGCACCAGACTGTAGCGAGAGCTCGATTTCAAGTAAAGATTGTTGAAAGCTGAGGGATCGGAGCGGCCCCGGATTTGCGTGGTGGAGTCCCCATTGGCAGCGGTGCGCCAACGTTGGTCCTGCTCTGCGGGTTGTCAACCGGCTGTGACAGAACGCATTGGCACGGCTGCGCGCAGGAAAGCATCAGTGATGTTGCGACGCTCCTGACAAGTTGTTAAATGCATTGTAACGGCTACGCGGCAGGGAGTCCCGACCATAGTGCTACTCTTGTGCTTTGCGGGATTGCAATTGGAGGTTGCAAAATGCATTGTAACAGCTGCGCATGGAGAGGATTCGGGTTGCAGAAGCTACAGAAGAGCAAGCTGGGAGGCAGGTCAAAGCAGAAATAGCCCAGATAAGTGGCTGCTCAGAGAAGAGAAGAGGTGCCTCAGCGAAGAGGTCGCTCGGTGAAGATCACAAAGAAAAATAATTCATTCCTCCATCCATCCATCCTTCCATCCATCCATCCATCCATCCATCCACCTATCCTTCAACTCATTCGTTCAGACATTCATTCACTCCTTCCTTCCTTCCTTCGTTCGTTCGTTCGTTCGTTCGTTCGTTCGTTTGTTCCTTCGATTCGTTCGTTTGTTCGTTCATTGGTTCATTGGTTCATTCACTGATTCACTGACTCACTGACCCATTGGTTCATTGATTGGTTGATTCACTCATTGATTGATTCATCGATCGGCCGTTTCACTGATTCGTTGATTCCTTGTTTCATTGTTTCCTTGGGTCATTGATTCATTGCTTCGTTTCTTCATAGATTCATCGATTGATTGGTTCATTGATTCATTCAATCATTAATTCTTTCATGTCGGTTCATTGACATCTCAACAACCATTTGCTCATTCATTGGTGCAAATCACAACTTCAACACTTCGTTGTTTCTGCATCTCAAAAACTTTCCTATAGGCCATTTTCTTCCCATAGTAGTCTTATTTTTGCGACACTGCTGCCTCCGCGGGCCGGGCACTACTGGTAATATCTAAAGCCATCCCCACTTGGGTGAAAAGCTGGTATGCAAGTTGCAATATGGGATGATGTACAAGGACCCCCCATTGGTTGATAGCTCGGGATGATTATGGCCTTGTGTCTACCACCTGACGAACTTTGGTGTTTTTTACGACTTGCATTAGCATTCTTGGGCTATCCATTTTTGATCCATATCATATCCATATGTTTGTGGGAAAAAAAGGGGCTATGGCTATGAATGCTACACATGGGGATATCACGCAGAAACTAAGTTGGTGGTGTAATTGTTTTTGCATGTCCATCGGAGTCCATCCGCCCAAAGCAATTCTTCCCCATGAATTCACACACTTTTGAAAAAGGTAACTCAACCACGAATCAGGGGCAGTCAGCGTTTCATGTTTCGGGGATCCCTGACCGAAGGTACCGAAGGTGGATTTGAAACCCGTTGGGCCAGGACCCGTGGCCGGCTGCGGTTGCGGAAAATGCCAAACTGGTGAAGGCGCTGGAATATGGAGAGCCTCTGGAAATCACATGTGACCAACTTAGTGATTCAACGGGGATATAAGGGGATCTATACAATTGGGGTTAGCCTTCCGTAATTAATCAAACATGGCTGGAAAATCCCCGAACTAAATGATCTAAAGAGAGGTTTTACTTCGCTAGGAAGGTCTTTGAAAAGTGGGATTTTTCAGCAAACCACGTTTGTTTACTGGAAGCTATATTTTCTGCACGGGGGATGGTAGGCAAGTTCTTGCTGTGGTGCAAAAGCTCTCCTGGAGTGTCCAAAAATCAAACAAAAATCGCACAAACAGATCCATGAGGTCAGCACGTGTGACATGAAGTAGTCCTGTTGATAAATTGAAGTACTGTCACAGTGTTTCTGGAACGCTTTGCAGCGTTGCCTGACGCAGAAGCAAACAAAGTCCTTCTCTTCGCGCGCGGGCGTTGCTTGGTTCAGACGTGACCACTGGGGTGGGTTTGGACTGTTGAAGATCTCATGGGGGTTGGGAGGATCAGAGGTGCCAAGAAAAGGGTGGAGATATGTGGAGATTGGCAGCCCGGTTTGCGCTTTGCAAAGGTCTTGGTAATTTTCGTAATGCACCTTGTGTCTGCTTAAAACAACTGGTTCACATGCAGTCATATTCAAGGTCCAACCCGCCGTAACCCGCCCTCCAACTGAGTTGGTTCAGCGACGTGTACGGCAGTTGCAGAACTTGCTCCAGGTGTGACCCGCACTAAGCCATTTCCCTAACTGGCAGGCCCTTTTGTGGTCCTCTTTGGCTGTGAAAGACTATGTCGACCTTGGCTTTGAAACCCAAGTGACACTTCTTTTTTGGGAAGGGGCTGAGATGCAATGGATTATACCCATTTGTATACAGATGATTTTCCGAGCTTTAAACCTCCATTTAGTTCGGGGATATCTCCATATGAGGGCATGGTCATAGTCCCATTCATAAGTTTCTCTGTATCTATAGAATATCCTCAAATCCAGTGGTTCCGAATGCAAATTATTGTCCCCATCAAAACGTAAAGTCAGTCTGGGGAAAGCCCTGGGACATCCTGGGACGACCTTCGCAGGACTGTACCAGGAGCTGCGTCACGGCGCGTATTTCCCAATGTTTGAGCGACTTGAAGTCCACTAAGAAGAAGAAGTTGCCGCTGGGCGCCACGCGCGTATGAAACCGCGGTGAAAACGGGTCAAAATCATCTGGAAAATCCACTGGTTCGGAGGTTTATAGCTGGGAAAATCATCTACAAACAGTTTGCCATGGAGTATCAGCATGTTAGATAGGTAAATCATCGAACTCAATGAACCATTTTCAGTTTCCAGTTCAGGATCGGGAACGTGTTTACTTGGGAAGCTTGGGGTCCTCATATACAGTTGTTCTTCAAGAGCCAGGAAACAGAAAATACATCCCAAGTGTTTCTATAGCACGGGAGCTGGAGAGCACAGTTTGTCACGGCAGGACTATGAAACAATTTAAAGGTAGTTTGCCAAGCAGGCAAATGACATAGACGTCAGATAACAAACTTGAAACTGGTGCACGTATTTTCAGCAGGTTCCCTGATGGAGTTGGCCAAGAATCCGGGGATTTCCAAATTACAAAAGTGGTGCTACGTCAAGGCCCCTTCACGCTTTTTGGACCAGACCTATTCTACTTGACTTATTGATCTTATTGCCACCCCAAAAGTTACATGCTGAACCACCCAGCTAATGAGCCAATTCTGAGGAGCTACCTTAATGGTCCATTGATCCCAGAATTGGTAGTGAATTTTGGGAAATTCATTGGATTTTACTCGTCATCGCTAGAACCCCACGTGCTTCCGTGCTTCCTAACGGCTTGGGCCCGCCTTGGGACCGCCTACCAACCGGCCGGCCAAATCCGAGATTCGGAAGTCGGACATGGCAATATGCGGTTGAAAAGGACCGCTTCAAGACCAGCAAGACAACTCAGCTGAGTGAGATGTGGGCGGCTTGGCCTGAACGCTTGGCCTGTGTGTGGCGAATGTGTATCGAAAACAACCATCAAAAACGGAAGGAAGGTGTTTTTTGTGTTTGATGGATTTATATGTTTATATGGATTTATTATGATTAAATCGTACGATTAACCTCCTGAATTGATTGAGCTTCGGGAAGCGATGCTTCTTTTTCATCGCAGAGGGCATGCAAAGACGACCAGAGAACTCAGCTAGAGCTGGAAATTCTGTGTGGTTGTTGTTCGAGTTGCTGGGTGCAGCTCAAAATGGTCAGTCACCCAATTTATGGCAATGATACTGAACACGACAAATGAACCGGTGGATTTCGGGAGGTTTTCCCAGTGTTTTTCATATCGAACTTTTCAGAAGCGTGATATGACCGTGCTCCGAAAACAGTCCCCAAAAAGGTCGTGAGATAGTTGTTGTACCATCTGGTTATGACTAACAGTTCGCCATGGAAAATCACCATGCTATTAATAGGTAAACCCTCTATTTCTATGGGCCATCTATACCATGGCAAACTGTTAGTCATAACCAGAGGGTTTGATGTTGTTTTTCTTCGTGGCATCTGATTTTCATTTCATCATTTCTACTGGGTCGGTGGAGAATCTGAGGTGGAACGTCAGCAGGAGTTGGATCACCAGCGAAATCCGGAAAGGGCGAAGCATCAATTGGTCTCTTAGCGCGTCACATGGAGATCCTATGTTTGGTGGCGATTCCTAGAAGTTGGTTTTAAGAGCTCGGTTCTACGGTTTATGGTAGATATACTTCATGAGCTTTATGAACCAACATAGCCATGACTGAGGAGCACCGATTCGATTGCACCACCTTGCACAGTCGACTGTAAAATGATGAAGATCTGCCAAGAAAACGATCAGCATCATGGGCTTATCAAAGTAGAGCTGCATTGCAATTTATGAAAATTTATGTAGATCTAAAAAAAACGTGAGCGGATGTGTTGTAAAAGCATCCTGGTCATCACCGACAGGACACAGGAACCCAAACTTGAAACTTGGATACTTCACACCGAGCTTGAGCTGAAAAATCGAAATTTGGCATTCTTAAAGAAGCACAAAGAGATTCCGACATCATTTCCTTATCCAACCTTTAGATTTTCTACCTGGTGGCTATTTCTAAAAAGAAAGCAAGATAGTTTTAGTCCAAACTGGCAGCAATGCAGATCCAGGTGAAGATGAAACCGTTGTTTGCACAACAGCCAGCTGAAGACCTAGTGTCGGGAAAAAGGCCAGGTCGGGAACCTGCGTGGTTCTGTCTTTTTTGGGGATACCCTCTGGTAAACTCACACAACTATGGAAAATCACAATTTTTCATGGGAAAACTCACTATTTCAATGGTCATTTTCAATAGCTATGTTAGTCATTACCAGAGGGTATATCATATTAAATCCCATTAAACCACCATAAAACCCCATTAAATCCCATTAAATCCCATTAAATCCCATTACCAGTCAAAAAAGTTGGGGGTGGTGATTTTTTTCCCCACGGAATGGTGAATCCCAAGCTTAACGTAGTCATTCTGATTTGTACATACTGTATGTATATATATACACATACATACATAATAATATATGTACATTCTATATACATAATATGATATATATATATAATATAATGTATATATATAATGTATATATAATGTATATATATATAAAATGTATATATATATATATAAATATTGAAACATGTTGTGCAACATAGTTAGTGGCCAATTTACTGAAATATAGCTTGACATATGTATTATATATGTATAGTATACATACATCTTACATATTTTTGGCATGAAATATATTCAGACACAATTTGTGGCATATTTCCCAAGATAAATACAGACATACAATGCGTCATTTCTTGTGTTTTCTGACATATTTTATGACAGGAATACTGACATATATTCTGACATATCTATTTTCTGACATGTATACAGGCATATCTTGTGGCATACCTACATTTTCCATGTTTTCTGACATATTTTCTGGTATGAACACTGACCTGACATATCTTGCGGTATATCTGTTTCTGGTACATTTTCTGACAACTACTGACCAAAAATCTGGCACATATTTTGACACATTCAGATGGGTGCACCAATCCCGCCACAGATTGTGGTTCACCGGGCCTGGGCAGACAGGCGGACAGATATTACATGAGTTTCCATGACATTACGACCGGACACGATGCGACACCACACAGTAAATACACAAGCCAGGTATGGACAATACACACACATATATACAATATACACACTGTATATATATATATACATACATACTGTCCATATATATATATGTATGTATACACACATGTATATCTATACCGTATATGATATATATTATGTGTACGCTTCTTATTCTTCACCAGTTCTACCATGTAACCTGCTGCTTCCGCCTCGCAGGAAGTGCTGCACCTGTTCTTCTATTCTTAGCACGCCCAATTCAGAAATTTTCTGCGGGCAGGATTGAACTGCTGGGGATCCGTTGGCTTATAACCATAGTTATGGAACCATAGCTGCAGAAACAAGGTTGTAGGCACCATAGTTATGTTTATGTTTTCACCAATCATATTCGGTTACCATAGCTGTAGAGGCTTATAGAATCATAAGTGGCTCATGTAACCAGAACTGGGTTTCAAAGTTATAAATCTTTCTGTTTTGTTTGGTGGCTTATAGTGAAAAAGATGAACTCCTTGTCTTTCTCCGAACAACCGAATGCAACCACTGTAAAAATCAGTTGCAAAGCGTAGCCGACACTGAATCTCGGTAGAATTTGTTTTTTTTTCTAGCCCCTCGAATCCACAGATCACTAAACCAGAGTGGGGACGACGAATTGAAGTGATTCCAAGACAGTTATATATGTTTATCTGCTGGAATCAGTTTGGAAAATTGACGTGGCCATGGTCTGTCATTTTTGTTAATGAAGAAGCAGAGGGGAAGGGAACTACAGTAGTCTGTCTTTTTTGTTTCTCCAACGTAGTTCTGTTGCGAATGAACACATTTTCTTTTATCTTTGCGATGCCGGTTGCAATTGTGTCGTTAGCCAGTTTACCACAGCTATGATCACGTTGCAATTTGCATTGTGTTGGCATGCCAAGTATGTGTACACATAATATATGATATATATATATGTATACATACATACATTTATGTTATATGCAACATGTAGACATCAACACAACTTGCTGCTAACCAGAGCTGGTTATGTCGGTTCCATGTACTCAGTTCCTCAGCGAGCTGATTTTCCAACTGCCGAGGTGGTTTCGATCCGATTCAGGGCCACTATCCCAAGGCCTTTAGCGCCTTGATCCCATGCCCGAATTTTTCTGGCACTGAAAATATATGGAGAGCATGATGATCAACTGAAAATTTATGGAGATACCTTAAAAAAGAATAGGGTATTCTTCCGCCATGAAAAATGAAATGGAAAAGATGATGACAAACTCTCAGATTTGGGGGTGCTCAACTGGGCCTCTTTGTTTGGTAGTTTCATGGGCTGTGATTTTTGCATTCTTGGGAAAATGAAACCAAGCTACAATTTCAGGGCATCCAAGATCTAGGGTAAGCCTTGTGAAGCTTGACATCCGCCATTTGGCACCAAAGGCTGGCAACACTTCCCCCGTGTTCGATGGATTTTCCCATCAACCTCCATGGTTTTTGGTGGATTTCCCACGAGGGTCATCCCACAAAGATGGCTAAGAGTTTGCCATTTACGAATCACTTTGGAATGATTCTCCAGCCATCTATGACACCGGTTTGGTCTGGTCGCATTTCTGTAGCAGGTCATGAGTTTCTGCATAGCTCCCGAGCAGTTGACCTGTGATGAATACGTGGGTTACAGCCTGATACTCAGAAAAGACGTGGCTGTTTTCAGCAGTTTTTTCCGTCTGAAAATGGTATAGAAAAATGACCATTGATCCATTGGACTGGAGGGCTCCGCCACGACAGATCCTCCCAGTTCACAAGGGTTTGTCTCTTCAAGCCATGCCGCTTTTTTATGCCATGGCGTGTGGCTGGACTTCTCATGAAATTGCTGGTGAACTACATTTTATGGTTATTCTGGTTGTGTTATGTTTAAGCCACATAAGCCACCATCATTCCCACATTTTGTTGATGAACTCCCCATGTTTGGCCCTCCCTCCTCCAACCGCCTCTGCCGAGCTCCTCCGGGTGAGAAGACTGAGCCCGCGTGCCACGCAGTCGTCGCGGAGTTCTGCAGTGACCCCTCCGTCAGCGAGTGCTCCAGCGACAAAGGCGCGTCTGTCGCCAGAAGGTTCACCATAAAAATATGGGTATGGGTCAATACCTATAGATACCTATAAATGATTCATCAACATTCAGCCCAAACATGACCCAGCTTTACATATGGGTATGGATCAATACCTATTAATACCATTTTTAATGGGATGAACATCCATTTACCAGCTATTTTGATGTGAACAGAAGGGGTACTATTGGTTTTGACACACTGCCATATGAAAGCTTCCGACGTCATGGGGATTTTGAAGTCACCGTTGGTTTCAATACTGAGTCATGGTCATCCATGACGTGGATGATTTTGCAGTATCTCTATTTTGGGAAAGCTCCATATGGATAAATTGGGAGTGGATAGTGGATGAAAATCAGTCACCACGGATTTTCCAGAATTGGACGTGTCCTAAAATGGGGGTACCCAAAGTCACCATGGGTTTCAATACAGAATCATGGTCTAATTTGGGGTAGCCCATTTTAGGAAATCCAATTTTGGGATCTTTTGAAGCAAAATGGAGATTTGTGGAGGTGTGGTGTTGGAAGCGGGAGTTGCGGACATAAGTGGTAGCAACCAGCGACTGGTGATGTTCTGAACAGGGAAGTTTCCTGCTCGGCAGTCAGTATTGTTCTATTCTTGGGTGCCGACTCACCAAGTGCGATGATCAAGTGACAAGGAACCTCCTAGCCTGTTTGAACATGAGGAAACCGCATGATCTTTGAGTTGTGACCATAGGAAGACATGGGACGAGCCACCGACAGGGGACGAGCCACCAAGTAGCCGTAGCCGAAATCACGGCAATGGTACTCCGGGTGCCCCCCGAATTTAGTTCGATGATTCTCCCATTCCTTCCGACTTCGGGGATTTCCGCCATGTTTGTGGAAGGGTAAATTCATAATATTTCCATTGGTTGTACAATAAAGATACCAAGTATGTTTGTAAATGTACATATATATACTCATGAATCACAACTTCCAACTGGGTCGATTAGACGGTGCCCGCAGACCACTACAGCAAAGCCAAATCTTGGGACGATGCCTGAGAGTGGTGACCGGGTCAGCCGTGGCCGGTGCTGTTGGGGTAAAAAGATGCGAATCGCATTCTGAGGAAGAGTCTTCTCTGGTAACTTGAGGGGTTAGACGGTTAGCCCATTGTCAGACATTTCAAAAGCATCTTAAGTTTGTCATATATCCCATTCAACATTATTGAGCTATATCCCCATAAACTACCCATGAGGGCCACCATGCAAAACATTGCTCCAGCCCAGTACAGATCAAGGGCGAGCCAAGATCTGCTAGACCTCCATGCCATGGGAATATCCGGAACGTCAGCCAGGGGTGCCATGGTGGAGTGGCAGGAATTTTGCCCCATTTTAAGACATGTCTTGAATCTGTGCTTATGTGGGACATCGGACAAAATGACAAAATGCTTAAGGGGGATGTAAAAAATCCAACCAATCATTGGCGGGTGGTTGAGCCGTTGCAATGTCAGCCTTTCGGGATCATCATCCCATTTCCACTGTAAGTTGGTTTGCAATCCCCATTGACTACTTGGTGGCTCATCCCACGGCTCGTAAGTGGGTTATAACCCCAGTGATTGACATGGGATAAGTAGGGTTAATCCACTTATAACTGGGGTGAACTAACCCACTTACTAAGTTGGTTTGCAATCCCCATTGACTAGTTGGATATATCTACCATCACAACCCAACCGTTATTGGACTCTCAGAGCCACCAACTTTGCGTGAAGCCAACCTCGGGACATACCCGCAGCTGTTTGTAGCACAATGGCCTTTGGGTCTTTTTGGCGACTGGCTCTTCTGCTGGTGACATGTGGAGCGCAGGCAGGCGTGAATGGTGCGTTCAGGGTCAAATCGTTGAGCTGGAAAATGTGATTCTTGGGGGTCGGGTCAAATATGTGGTCAAAGCTCCTGACCGTCGCGACGTCGTGACCTATGACGGATTGACCGTCGTGACCAGAATATGAAGGATTTTGGGGTCTGAAATTTGGTCTATCTCCGCTTGGTGATGGCAGGCATCATGGAAATACATCGTTTGACCGAACACTTCCAGTCTCTGGGATGATGACCATTGTCCCGAACCCCCGAACACCCTGCAAGCATCGTGGATGGTGCCAATCAGTAAGAGAAGGTTAAAAGCCATGGACCCCTTGAACAACCAATGGCAAAATTATGGCAAATTGGTAAATGGTATACCGGTATACCAAACCGGCCCAAGCCTTGTTTTCCCAACACTCCCCACATTTTAATGGGGTAATCTCATGATGATATCCCCAACCTGTCATTTCACGCCGCACTCACAAGTGGTGTAGACTGTATTTGACATGATCTGAGCATCGAACACTGCATCGAACACTGGATCCCTAGAATTTCTTTCCCAAGAAGGACATGATTTTCAGGTTGCTCCCGGCCGATCTAGGTCAATGATAGCCATTGGAAACATCAATTTCCATCCTGGGATGGTCAAAACTTGTGGTGCCCAGTTCTGTTGGTTAAACCATAGTAGCTAGTTCGATACATGGTGGTTTCCAAAAATGGGGGTATCCTCAATAGCTGGATGATTTACAATGGAAAAGCCTATTTAAATGATTTGAAATGGATGATTTGGGGGTATCCCTATTTTAGGAAACCGCCATATCATAGGAATTCTTTCAGCAACTTAGCGGCTACACTGCCAGCTGGGAGCACCACAGAGCTGGACAGGAAAGCCTCCACTACGTCCCAGCCTGCGGCAGCTGTGGGACAGCAGAGACTGCAGCCGAAGAAGCTGCGAGGGTGCGATGGGGCGCATGGGAGGTCAAGAGCGTTTCAAAATCGTTGAGAAGAATAGGTGGATGATAGGGTTAATGGGGTTTGGTTGATGATATGGAAGTTGTTGTAATCAATTTCACAATATGATATGGATATGGTTAGTGGATAATGATATGGAACTTCTTGTGATGATTTTCTAAGGTGGGCGACAAACAAATGATGATATTGGCGAATTGCTTGGAATTAAGTGGTTGTCCTACGTGTAACAGGGTTTGATCTCATTCAAGACAGAATTACTGAACAGGACCAACCGCCAACAGCAGGTCATTTTCAAAAGACCTCTGCGCGCCATGAGAATTCAGTACCCACAAATATGCAGAAAACAATGGAAATCCATGGGTTTCCGGAGGAACATGATCATTTCAAATCGTGGATTTTGTAGGTATATATATACACATGTTATACATATATATATACACATGTTATATATATATATCTATACATGTTATATATATATATATATGATAAGGTACGATATATATATACAGTATATATATACACATGATATATATATACATGTTATATATACACATGTTATATATATATATGATACAATATATATATATGATTATCTATGTTAATTTACGGGAGGATAAGTGTCTTTCAACCCTGATGCGGGGACCCGATCAAAAAAGTGCGATCATCCAACGAAGAACCTCTGCCCGGTATGCAATTCTTCTATGGTTACCCAAGTATGTGTGATTTATGGTGATTTAATGGGATTTTATAGTGATTTAATGGGATTTTATGGTGATTTAATGGGATTTTATGGTGATTTAATGGGATTTTATAGTGATTTAATGGGAATTTATGGTGATTTAATGGGATATTAATGGGATTTACCCTCTGGTTATGAATAACAGTTCGCCATGGTTTTTCGATGGCCCTAATCGAAATAGATGGTTTACCTATTAATAGCATGGTGATTTTCCATGGCGAACTGTTAAATAACCAGATGGTAATTAATCATCCACGACTGTCATTACCATCTCTGTAGCGTTTTGCATCCATTTCTTGTGCGTCATCTCATGAGGAAAATCCCGCAGGTTTCCTCCAATCTCTTCCTGTGCCTTCCCTTGGGAAATGACTAGCAAGATGAACTCATGAAGAGATAGAAAACACCATCAAAATAAAAGTTGGTCGGAACAAACTAGTCGCAGAAAGTCCTAATTTTGTGTGTCCCAGGGGAATATCTTAGGAAAGTCCAAGTCGTAAAATTGTGGATGGTATATACTGTATATATATATAAATCGAAAATCAAACCAATCCGCCCAAGAAGTTTCATCGCAATTCCTTCTTGGTCAAGAGTGCACTAGAATCCGGGGAAAACTCGAAGGACCGTCGGAAAATACTACCATTTTCCCATCGCCAAACAACTCGGAAACGTGAATTTCCATGATCAAATTCATAATTCTTCATGGGTTTTTCAGAAGTCCACCCCCCAAAAATGGATGAAATCCGTGAAATCCATCATTTTTGAAGGTTCACATTTTCTACCATTGGTGAACTCCCATTTTTTTTTTCCATGGTGAAGTTCCTCATTTTTCCCGGGGGGACCGTTTTTTCCAGGAGCACAAGTCCCTGGCGGAGCAGGCGGACGCCGCCGCCTCAGCGGCCCGGGGCACGGCCAAGGCGCTGGGGCTTCCGGCGCATGAACAGGCGACCGAACGACCGACCGGTGCGGACCGGGGTGCGGAGGAGACCATTTTTTTGAAGCATCCAATGGTTGATAGGTTTCATGAAATTATAAATATCAACTATTTGATGGTTCCAAGAGGTTTCAATGACATAACCGGAGGTTCAATCCCTATAAAAAGTCACATGATGGTCACTATTTGATGGGTTTTATTTGTGATTTTTATAATCCCATGAGGATTTGAGGGGGATTGACGAGGTTTGGGGATTTTACGGGGTTCATGGGGATTTGAGTGGCACTTCATGGGGTTTGCTGGGATTTACAGTAATGATGTTGAGTGATGTCCTATGGGTATTTATCAGGATTGCTCCAACCCATTATGGGTAAAATATCGCCACAAGGGCCAGTTTTCCCCTCTTGTCTTTGGGGTGTTGGGAGCAACCTGGATATTGATGGTAATGGTTGATGTTATATTGAAATTGTGGTTATTCTATATTAGATACTATTAGATGGTTACTCTTACGATATAGCTGAACATGTTATGGAATGACAATTATAGTAATGGTTGATATCATAGTAACCATCTAATGACTACAATTTTTGACAATTTAGCAGGATCTAATTTTTGTTAACCAAAAAAAACTCATGTTATCATAGTAATGACCAGAGTTACATAAGTACTGTAGATGATTCATCCTAATTGGTGAAGCCCAAAAAGAACACGAACTCGACATTCCGACCGACCGAAATTTAACTCAGGGGATCATCCGGCTGGGGAGTTCACATAGAGAGTTGATCAAGATCATAGTTATTAATACTGCTATATAGCTATAGTTATGAAAATTATGGTTTATAATGATTAGTATATATATATAAGATAGTAATTTACTATGATGATTGTTGTTATGATAATTAATGATAACTATTGATAGTTGATGAAACTATACAATTGCGTGGCTCATCCCAATGAGGAAGACAAGCGCTTGTTTTTGGTTCTTATTTTTGAAAAGGTTGAAGTCAGAAAAGATATTCCAGGTGGAAGTGAGGATTATTTTTGAACATTATTTTTGGAGCGGGCAGAGAGAACACTACACGAATTGACTGTATATATCTATAGCTATAGCTATATCTATAGCTATGTCTATATCTATGTCTATATGTATATCTATATCTATATCTATGTCTATAGCTATATCTATATCTATATCTATATAGCTATTTATACACATATGAACGCTTAGAAAAAACAGAGGAGGCGTCGGGTTCGAGCCAGGCTCAGGAAGCCGGGAAGGCCGCCTTTGACGTCTATCGCAAGGCCGGCGGGTTCAGACGCGAAGCACTAGATTCCGAAAACTTGGTAATTTTCGGACAGATGCAAAGTATGTAAAAACTTGGCATTTCATCCATCTGTTTTTTTCCACTTTTGCCTTGACTGGAAGACGCCGAGGCGAAACGATCCTTGGACGATTGCAGCGTGGAAGCCGCCAAGGAAGCCGCGCGGTCGGCCAAGGTGGGACCTGCCGTTGTGGAATTGTTCCGGATCACTGTATAACCATGGTGGTCAAAGCCATAAGTTGGGATATCACCCCTAGAATCCAAAGTATACTTTAGTTCCATTAATATCCACAAAAATGACTGGAACAGCATTTCCAAGTAGATATTGGCCTGTGAGGAATCATGAAATTTCATGAAATTTCATGCTTTCAGGGTTTTCTGAGGAAGACATTTTACGTATTTTTTTCAGAATGATCATTTTATGAATCGCCATTGAAAGACGATTTTTCAAGCCATCATCCCATCATGATGGATGGAATCGTAGGATCAGCAACAAAAACACCGGACCTGGAGGGGATAAAAAAAGACCAGGAATGGTTTGGGATGGATTGAAAGCAACAACTAGCTAGTAACTAGCTAACTAGCTATGCTTTATGATATTTATATATATTTATGATGGATTGTCCTACTCACAAAAAAGTTCGATTCTTCGAAGTTTCTGGATGCAAACGGCTTAAGCCAGAGGGTTTTTGGCTTCGGCCGTTGTTTTTGTTCTTTTCGACAAATGAGTCGATGATGGTTTCCACCAAGAAAAATGGTGACTTTAGCAGCTTTGATTCTGCTGATTGATGGTGATTCAACCATCACAAGATTTCCCCACCGCGCACGATTTTGGCTACCAACACATCTTTCTCATTCTTTCTCCATATAAAAATTTACGACGGGCACAGTAGACCTGTTTGAACTTCCAAAATGGCAAATGGTGTACCTAACCGGCCCAGTCGACCCACCGTTTCTGTGGATGGAACCCGCAATCTTCACCGAAAAGTTGGAGTTCATACGTCTGCAATCTCCAAAGACGATCCATTTCGACATATTCAAACCAAAGTTAGCTATGTTAGTTTACTAGTGAAAATCATAGCTATTGAAAGGGGATTTTTTAAATTTAAAGTTTACTATTAGTTGATGGTTGAAAACATAACATCAACATAACAAAACAGATATAACTATTATTTGATGATAGCTATGATAACTATATATATAACTATTGGTTTGATTATAACTATTATAACATATATATATAACTATTAGTTGATTATAACAGGCTACTCATCACCAATCCATCAAACCATCAAAGCTGCACCGAGGCGAATGGTTTGGACACGCCGACGCAGTTGAACGCTGGGGCCGTGACGGCTGCACTGTCGCTGGCGTGCCGTGGTGGCGTGCCGTTAGTTTTATAAATGTTTGGAGTAGAGTATTAGTAGATATTGACTATATATATACATATATCTACAAGGTATATATATATATACACATATGATATGTAAAAAAATATAGATAATATCTATAGTTAGTTTCATGTGCCGTGGTCAAATTGTGGTTCATAGTCCTACAAATACTGTACATATTGATAGTTTACCATATCAATGTATGAACCGTTTCATGTATAGTCTTTATATAGTCAAATTTTTACTATATTGCGATAGTTTGTCCCAGCAAATGGATGCAGATAGCAAATGATTTATGATGAAGTAAACCCACTAATAAACCATCCTCAATTGGGGTTAACCATTGGGTATATTCCTAGCAATGGGCTTTTTTTTTTTAATGCCCGGCAAATGATTGGTTGCTGGGATGGGTCAACACCGCCTTAGTCATAGCAGATGAACAAAGAACTATAGTGATGAAGTAGATTATATAAACAGTATGGATAATATACTTATAATTAGTTGTGAATTCATGCAACTATTGGGATATATATACATAATAAGTAAAAACATACTATAGAACTAACCTCATATGTCCCATGGAGAACAGTTGGATCAGAATGGGGATATAGTCGGGATGTAATGAACAGTTCTTTGTGGTACAATGGGATTTCATGGGAATATCCAGGGGATTTTAAAAAAGATGAGGAGTGAACAGTTTGACCCTGACGGATTCATACCAGAAACTCACAACATTTTCCCATTGCAATGGATGGGTGGTATGAACCAACCAGTTTATGGGGATATCATAGGAGAGAGAACCAAGAATGCGATCTGGTTGAAAAAAACCCTTTAAGGGACTATAAAATCAGCCATTTAATGATATATTGCTTGGGATATCAGCAAGTATAATGGACATGTAACCAACAATGCGGGTTTAAGCAGCAGCAATGATATGAGGATGGTTAAAAACCTTTGATTTCATATATTGACGCAGGATGTTGCAATCCCTTATTTGTTATGACCCCAAACAAGCCCTAGTGGAATGTATGAAAAACCTATTTATCCTGCTAGCAGTCCCAACATTGGGGGTCTTTTTTGACATGATTGGGGGGACGGAATTGCCTGTCCATTTGCATCGGGTATAATCTCATTTTGGTTGGTGAACCCCCCCATATATCCGAGTAAATTATTGCATTTCACCAACCTGAAAAGTTAGTTACCCTGAGTTACAATCATTTCTAGTCACCGTAATATCATTAAGGTTTTAGTTCTTACGATTGCCCTTGTTACTACCATTCTTACTATCATTATTGCTATCTCTCATCGTTAGCATGATTACCATTCTTGTTACTAGTCTTCTTCTTATTACAGTTCTTCTTCTTGTTATTACTACTAGGATGACTGGAATTATTTGATATGTTATATGATATGTATATATATATATATGTATGTATATATAATATCTATATATATATATGTATGTATATATATATATACATATGTTTGTATGTATATATATGTATGTATGTATGTATGTATATATATATATGATATATATATATATATGTATATCCGATGTACATCTCAACACAAGCGACTGGAAATCCTCGTGTATGCCCTCTGACTTTTCCGGTGGCGCCGTGGCCCGTAAGGGCCGTCCAGGTCCATAGGAAAGACGGGTCAGGAGCAAGCGGACGGGGCCTTCAAAGCGTCCAAGGCCACCACCATGGTGGGTTTATGTGGTCAACACCACGATATTGGTGGGATACCCTCTGGTAAACTAACATAGCTATTGAAAATTGCCATTTATAGTGGATTTACCCATTGAAAATGGTGATTTTCCATAGCTATGTTAGTTTACCAGAGGGTATTCCATTTCATATCATATAGATTAATTGATCCATTGAAATATTAATGGATGAAAATTATATAGATATTGGAATATGAATGGAATATCAATGGATCAATGGAATATACCCTCTGATAAATATACAGTTGGACCCTGAAAATCAGCCATTTTTTTTTGGAATCACTACAGTCTTCCAAGCCCGTTTTCTGCCAGGGTCGAACTGTTAATTTACCAGAGGGTTAATATATTGATAAATCCACATTAACACCACATTAACACCACATTTTATGGAATACTTAAAGTAGGGTTTATATATGTATATACATATATGGAATATACATGAGATGATATGGGACTCCATGGTGAATATGGAATACTTTTATATAGCTTTTTGATATGGAATATACGGGGTGATATGTTTTTTTTCCCGATTTTCAACTGAATGGGATATCATGGAACTTCATTGTGGATTTTAAGGATGTTTGTATGGGTTAGACCCCATGTATATCTGGGATCTGAGCCCATCGCTTGCTACTACATGATTCGAGGAAAGTATCGAGGACGGATACACAAAGGGCTTTGAATGGACTGTTTGCTGTTTGGAATCCTGACATTTTCCCTTCAACTCCAGTTGAGACAGCGTCAAAGATGTTCCCAACCAGTTGAGTCAGGCTCGCAGACTCCCATGCGAAAAAAATATTGGTGGCTAGCAAGCTGTTCTATATAATACCCACGGATTCTTGACTCACAGCCAGAATTAGACCCTCGATCCAATGGCTCTTCATCATCTTATGAGAGGAGAATGGAGGGAACTGTTTGGATCTATAGTTGTTCTCATACTCCCTAATAAACGATGGGGAACCAAGCAATTGAGTTTTACATGATAGTATATGCAGCCTAGACATGGAACAACTTACCATTGTGACGGTCCACCGGTTTTGAACACCAAAAGCACCGTTTTGGCAAAAAACATCACGAATGTACCGTCTGATAATCAAACATGGCAAATGATAAATTCTTCCGTTTAGTTCGATGATTTTCCCATCTTTTTGGGGACTGAAAAATCGCAGGAGTTCCCCAGGGCTTCCCAACGTCCGCGCCTCGGCGCGCAGGTCCTCGTACGACAGCTGCTTCCCGGCAGCCAGCAGCAAGAAGCCTTGGAGGCATTGAATGGGCACCTCAGCCAGCATTTTGTTTTTTTTTTTGTGTTTTTTTTTAAAGATGATTTGATGGAATTTCGTTGGCTAAGTTGGTGAACATCCCTCCAATCACTGTATTTTTGGTCTTTTACCCTCCAGTTGTGGCCATTTGGATGGGGAAAACGATGGGAATTCTTGGTTCTTGTTCCGAAGAAAATGAGGGGAAATGATGGGGTAGGCCCATGAACAGTTGGGAGTCGTAGACTTTGGGTAGCCCAAAACCAAAATTGGTTTCCCAGACAAAGCTGCGAATTTTGTGGTTGATTTTGGGCTTGCCTGTTTTAGGAAGCACGGGATTTTTCTGCACGACTGGCAGATTTGTTCCAGAGATGTTGGTTAAAATATTGCATTCATGGAGGATTTGGTATGGCTTGAACATATTACCATGCTCTTCAGTGGCGTTCTTGGAAAATGGGTCAGAGACTTCAGCAATCCATGGCCGCTGTCTCGTCTCCCAAGGCAATCCATGAGGAACTTAAACTCTTTGGAATCACATGGATCGTCGTACACTTCCCTTGACACTTCAAGAGAGTAACTCCCCAAAAGATACTGTGGATGGAAGAAATCCTGCACCAGTTGATAGGTGTTTTATCCCATTATTTATAGGCTTTCAACCATACAAGGTGGTGCAGGATTTCTTCCATCCACAGTAGGAACACATAGTTTACCAAGTAGTTCACCTTTCTAAAGTGGGATCCCCAAGTCACTGCACCTGCTTCAAGATTGCATACCGTTAAATAAACCCTGTTCAAGAATTAGAAGCCCCGGTGTCAAAGATAATGACATGTTTTGACCATGAACACCGGGTACACCGGGGTGAGGCTCAAGGGATCTGCTGGTAGCTGTCGTTTCAATGCCATTTTCTCCCCGGTGAAGGGGACATCATCCAGCCTTGGCCGAGGGTCAAAGAACCCGTCGTTTCGGGCCGCGTTTCTGTGCCTGGACTTCTCCCCCATGGTTTCTGCAGGACGTCATCATACCGTGCTGCTCAGAAGTGATGGCTGCGCTGTTGCTTGCGGATGCAACAGTTCTGGACAATGTGATATTCCACCCTTGGAGGAGGGTGTGAGACACATCCAGCTTTCTGCAGGCTATGAACATACAGTGCTTCTCCGAAGTGACGGCTGTCCAGTTGCTTGCGGATGCAATAGTTGTGGGCAATGCAACATTCCGCCGCTGGATGAGGGTCTGACGTGCACCCAGGTTTCTGCAGGCGGTGGACATACCGTGCTTCTCCGAAGTGATGGCTGTCCAGTTGCTTGCGGATGCAATAGTTGTGGGCAATGCAACATTCCACTGTTGGATGAGGGTCTGACGTATATCCAGGTTTCCGCAGGTCTTGGTCATACAGTGCTTCTCCGAAGTGATGGCTGTGCTATTGCTTGTGGACAGGATGGACATTGGAGTTTGGGACAATGCAACATTCCCCCTTTGGATGAGGGTCTGACATACGTCCAGGTTTCTGCAGGCGTTCACACAGTGCTTCTTCGAAGTGATGGCTGTGCTGTTGCTTGTGGATGCAACAGTTCTGGACAATGCGACATTCCGCATCTGGATGAGGGTCTGACATACATCCAGGTTTCCGCAGGTTATAGACATACAGTGCTTCTAAGGAGCGATGGCTGCGCTGTTGCCTGCGGATGCAACAGTTCTGGAGAATGTGACATTCCACCGTTGGATGAGGGTGTGACATACATCCAGGTTTCTGCGGGTTTTAGACATACAGTGCTTCTCAGAAGTGACGGAAGTGCTGTGGCATGCGGATGCAATCAAGATTTTGAGTGCAACATTCCATGGTTGTGGTCCTGGCTTGATTGGTGGTCTGTAGGTCTTCGTTATGTTGCAGACTTCAATGCACACAAGGAGCATTTTGAGCGTGTTTTTCAAGGCCAGTTTCTTCAGGAAGGTGATGAAATCATTGTGATCTTTTTAGCCTTGGATGGGCACGAAGCGGTGCGTTTGAGGACCAAGGCTTTTGACCTTGCTTTGGAGGCGACTAGGCAACTGGCACTTCAGCTGAAAGCTGAGAATGCTGAGAACGCCGAGCCGCTTCGCGTGGTCTTGCCCGATGGGCAGTTGTTAGATGCAGTTTGCACAGCAGATCCATTGGTCACACTTGCACAAGTGTGTTCGAAGCATGAGGCATGAAATGCAGATGTCGTGCATTGTACAGTTAGTACAGTTTCTTTTTTTTGTGGTGCATCCACAAGCCAGTCCGAATTTTAATCGAATTTGTATTGTACAGTTGCCAGCTGTAAGCAGCCAGCTTCGAGGGGTGCTACGGTGGCCCGCGGCCCGTTTACATCAGTTAAAAGCGAATTGACGCGCGAACTCTTCACCTTTTGCATTGCACTTCTCTTTTTTATGTACCGGGTACCCAAATTTTGAATGGATGCATGAGTGGCAGGGATGGATTTGCCTTGATGAATTCCTGATTGATTGGTTTGTTGTGACCCTTTTGTATGATCTAGTCTTCCATGTGCAAAAGGCCCATGTTGCTGGGCTGTTCTGATATCCTGACGAGAGGCTTTATGTGGGATTGTTCATTATCACCAATGTGTATACTGGGTCAACCTTGCTTAGATATTAATCTTGTGCTATCAATGGTAAAATATACTAAACAGCTAAAAATTGGATCGTTTGGCAGGTATCTAAAGTTGGCCATGTAAAAGTCATGTTGTTTTGCCAAATAGAAAACAGAAAAACCATGAAATTGCTACAGTTTGATCACTACCAGCACGAGTTTTCCATCTCTTTCCCACATCCAAGTGACATCTGGACTGGGCGTGTCTGATCTTTTTTAGGGGAACGCCCCAAAATTTCATGGGTCATCATATTTTTTCCCATTCATTACCCTCTGGTAATTTGTTACATAGCTATTGAAAATGGCCATAGAAATAGTGGATTTTCCCATTAAAAATGGTGATTTTCCATAGTTTTTTCTATGTTTACCAGAGGGTAATCGGGGCCACAACTCCAAGGCCTATCAGCTACATCACTGGTGCCACTTGAACGACTGCGGCCGTGCAAGCTGGGGAAGTTCCGCTAATGTCGAGGTGTTTTTTTTTGTGAAATTGGGATTTTCATGGAGATATATTGGGGTTATAAAGCCAATATTTGAATGGAGATTTATTGGGGTTATAAAAGATTGTAAAGCCGATCACATGATACTTGGGTCTGTCATTTTGTTAGCGGTAGCCTTCGGTTTTTTCAGCGCCATGGATGGGAATCCCTCAACTCAACTGGCGTCGATGGGAAAATCATGGTTTTTCAACGGTGGATTTTCCAGCAAGCCATGTTTGATGACCGGAGGGTAGCTGCATTCGACACCCGAAAAAAGACCCAGACCCCTCACCCCTCTGCCCTTCCACAAACCCTAAGAGCAGACCCAAAACACTGTAATTGACAGTGTTTTTGTGCCTTTGGCATGGAAAAAGTATTTCTTGCAACATGCAGAAAACTGCGTAAATACCAGTGTTTTTGCTTGGCACTGGCCAAAAAACACTGTAAATAATCTGATTTTTGTTACCAGAGGCAAAAAACATCGTAAATACCGTGCTTTTGGGCTTCCGAGGAGCAAACAACATCAGAATTTACGGTGTTTTTTGCTCCGAGAGCTGCAAACAAACGTGCAAACACCACCTATTTGACGATTTTCGGCCACTACGGGACGGGACTGAGAAAAAATCTGCACGGGTAACAGCGGCAACAACAAGAAGAACAAGAAGAACAAGAAGAAGAAGAACAAGAAGAACAAGAAGAACAAGAAGAACAAGAAGAGCAAGAACAAGAAGAACAAGAAGAACAAGAAGAACAAGAAGAACAATAAGAACAATAAGAACAATAAGAACAATAAGAACAATAAGAACAGTAAGAGCAATAAGAACAATAAGAACAATAAGAACAATAAGAACAATAAGAACAATAAGAACAATAAGAACAATAAGAACAAGAAGAACAAGAAGAACAAGAACAACAAACAACAGCAACAACAACAGTAACAGCAACAGCAACAGCACCAGCAACAACAGCAACAACAGCAACAACAGCAACAACAGCAACAGCAGCAAACAAAAAACATCATCGACATTTATGATCAGAGTGTTGCCCGCCGGACCTCAACCACAAAGAATCTCCGAAGATATACCAGATAGAATGCCAGAAAGAATTGCAGAACATATAAGATATACAATGCGAATGCCAGATACCATGTCAGAAAATATGGCAAAATAGTGTCACTTGGTGGGGACCACTCGAAGGAAAGTAACTTGTTCCGAAGGCTTTCAAAACTTGACTTTAGACAGCCAAAATGACGCCTTGTGAGGCCCCGTGCGCATCATCGCCATCATCAACAACGGTAACGACATCAAGCATTTGATCTTGGATTCTTTTGTTTCATGTTTTTTTGCGCTTTGCCTGTGGTGACGCATTTTGCACCGATACGTTTCTACAAACAGACGACGTTACGCACAGAAGCCTTTACACAGAGCAGCTCTTACGCGCATTTTCTTACACAGAGAGGTTTGTGCACAAAAAAAATATTTTGTACACAGACGCCTTTACACACAGAGTTTTTTCCGCAAAGAAGGACGTATTTACACACAGATGCTTTGTACAAAGATGCTTTTGTGAGCATAAATAAAGGCACATAGGCGTTTTTACACACAGAACCTTTTCCACAGAGAAGCCTTTGCACAGAACAGTTTTTACACATGTTTTGTCTACACAAAAAACATTTGACACAGAGAAACTTGTACACACAGACTGCACACAGAAGTTTTTACAGATCGACTTTTTTGCACGCAGAAACTTTACCCAGAACAGTTTTTACACAGCAGAAACTTTTTCGTACAGAAGCCTTTGCGCACAAAAAAATATGCACAGCAGTTTTTACAGACAGACGGTTTTTACATACAGAAAGTTCTCCGCACAGAAGTTTTAACGCACAGAAGATTTTACACAGCATTTTTTACATACAGACGCATTTACACACACATGTCTCTATATACACAGACACAAATTGCACACAGAAACTTGTGCACACAGCACGCCTTTACACACAGCCAACTTTTACACAGAGAGGCTTTGCTTCCCCTTCTTGATCACCTACCTTTCGTCCATGAAGTGGGAATCCTCATGAACCAACCAGGATTAAATGGAATGACAACCAGCAGGTTTACGTCACACTGCTCACACCCATCTAATTTGAAAGGAACAGCCGCCCCAAGTTATGTGTCCTCATAGCATTTGCAAAGAAGTCTGCTTATTTTCCGATGGGTAAAAACACAGTCCTTGTCTGATGGGAACAATGATCGTGTATTGAATAAAACAATACACATCATATACACATCATACACACATCGTATACACATCATATTGCATATCTATGCACCCCTGGGTTAGCCCAGGAATCACTTTGTGTTTGTGGCATCCCATTTCCAGGTGGAAGGGGCTGGATCACGATATTTTTTTGGGATGTCATCCCATGTCATCCCAAGGCCATTGACGAACGACTTTTTTTTATTTTTCAAGATGGTGAAATTGCACCAGCAACCAGATACTATCGTTTGATATCGTTTGTAAATCAAGAAACATATAAAAAAGGGGCACCACTTTGGAATGATGAATTGGAGTCCATGAGTCGGGAGTGGTGTTTAATCTGATGTGGGGACGGGATTGCATCCGTTCAGACCTGGCCCATGGTCCCGGCTGTTCTCTGTGGAAATAGGCTATACCGCCCTGTTTACTGACTGCGGGTCAAGTGCACTTCTTGTCGACAACTTTCGCAGATCGAGCCCCGCACCCAGAGACCGTCCTTCCGCGACCACGGAAGCCACTTTACCCGAAAAAACACAAGGTTTCGCGCCCGAGAGTGTTTTCACCCGTGACTTCACACGCTTCCGAACTGTCACACTTCCCAACTACTTGTTGATGGGTGGTTGACATGATGATGTGGTCGACATGATGAGACATGAACATGATGACAAGACTGCCCCCCGACATCGTCCGTAACTCGGAGGTTTTCGAACTAAACTTCCTTTGATACATGCATCTGTCTGGTGGTTTCAAACATTTTTTTGTGTTCAGCGTAGATTACCGATGGATTTCCAAGTTTTACAGGGGATTTCCCATGATTTTCCAGCTAGCCATGTTTGATTGCCATATTTTAATTTTTATTCTCCTATTATATCCCCATTATATCCAAATTTTATTTGGACTATATTCCCATATTTTGATGGTTATTGAGGGTGAACTCCCATCATCATTTTCCTGCTAAGTCCTATTAAATCCCATTAAAACCCCCATGAAAATCAGATTAAAATCCCATTAAAATCACATGAAAATCAGATTAAAATCAGATTAAAATCAGATTAAAATCCCATTAAATTCCCATTAAGATCCTATGAGCACCAGATGGTACTCCATCAGCAAGGTCCTGCCGACCGGGCAGTGGAATCCGGGCCCTGGGTCCTTGGCCACGCCTGCGAGTGGGGGACGTCAGGGATCCGGTCGGGGGACGTTGTGTCGCAACGGGCGCTGGTGGTTGAGAATGAGTATATCATGTGGATAGAATGGGATCTAATAGGTACATAGAGATACATACATACATACATACATACATACATACATACATACATACATACATACATACATACATACATACATACATACATACATACATATTATACATATATATAATATATATATATATATGTAATTACACACTACAGTAAAAATAGGTTCAGCGTGAAAATAGATTTTTCGGAATTAGCAACAACAAATTTAACATCACAATATTAAGAAAAGCGTAAGAGGAATGATAATGACATTAGTGACAATAATGATAGGGAATAAAGATACACAATAAGCAATAGTAATGATTGCCCTGGTAATGATAACAACAATAAACCAGGAATACACACAAATATGTGTATATATATGTATATACACTAACATATATATATATACATATATATACATATGTATATATATGTATATATACATGTATATGTAAATGTATATGTATATGTACACGTTTATGTAAACATAAATATGTATATGTATATGTATATGTTTATGCATATGTATATGCGTATATATATATATATGTATGTATATATATATATGTATGTATATATATGGGTATGTATATATATATAAATGTGTATATAAATGGATATACGTGTATATGTGTATATATATATGTATGTATGTATGTATGTAATGTAATGTAATGTAATGTAATGTAATGTATGTATGTATGTATGTATGTATGTATATGTATAATTTTTAGTTTTATATGTATATGTATATGCGAATGTAAATGTAGATGTATATGTTTATGTATATATGTATTTGTGTATTTATGTACATATGTTTCTATGTATTTGTGTATATTTGTATATATGTATACTTGTATAAATGTATAAATGTAAATACATGTGCATATGTAAATATGTAAATATATGTATATATATATATGCATACATGAATATATGTATATCTGTCTGTATATGTGTATGTATGTATATCTCTATATATGTACATATATATACATGTATATACATGTACTTTTATATGTTTATACATGTATATATATATATATGTACATATGTGTATATATGTATATCTGTTTATATGTATATATGTATATATTTAAATGTGAATAAACATGTATATATGTGTATATGTATATATGTATATGGATATGTATATATATACACAGTGATTATGTTTTGTCCAAACATATTACAAAATCCAATGGTTTATCATCCTTTTCCCCCTGCAAAGTGCTACTTTTTGGGTCCACCAGCTGATTTGTGCTTCCTCTCCTCCTTGGTAGTGCCTTCCAAGATTAAGAAAGTATGTTGCACCTATTTCTTCACAGGTCTCCAAAAGAAGTATATGTATGTATACATACATGATGTAGATGTATAATATGGTAGTTCCCATAACGATAGAAACATGATTCCCTACTATCTTGATGATGCTTCAATTTTCCATGTTTTTTTTTGTTCACTACATTTTGGAGTCAACAACTTTTCCCCATTTTTTGCGCCATATCCATATCCCCCTGTTGATTGGGGCCCAACTTGCGTCCTCATAAGAAAACTCAGGCCCTGATCCGGTGGCTGCTAATATGGGCCCCGCTGTCGTGCCGGTAGAAGAGGCGGATGGGTTTTCAAAGATCGACATCTCCAAAAAAGGTCCATAGTTTAAGGCAACAGAAAAAGTAAGTGGAGTCTGAAAACCCGACCCAGACACATTATGGAGATATCAGAACTTGTTGGAAGGGATAACATGTTGCTAAATGGAAAAAGGCTAGTATGCCTGAACATGCAAATGACACAGTAGGGACTTTTTCCTAGGGATTTGTGGACACCTGCGAGGTGGTGATGAACATCAACAGCAACTATTCAGAGACCCATCTGAAAGAGCGAGGTTTGGCCAACTGGGCCTGGTTTCTGATCTCTTTCGTGGTGTCTTGGCGTGGCGTTTCAGTGGTAGATCAGCTGGTTTTTTGTGGTCGTATCACTTGGTTTTTTGAATCCGTGTACTGGAAATCATTTGGGTTTGACAATTATGGGAATCTCACCCCAGAATTTGATGGTGAATTCCAATGGTGAAGCATGTTTTTCCCATCTTTTCCTATTAAAACCGTGATTTTGGGTATAACCATTTTCAGCCACACCACTTTGGCGACGAAAGTGACTCAAAAATGTCCCCCCCTGTGTTGCAGCCGATCGCTGGTGCGATGCCACACAGGTGGCGCTGGTGCTCATGATTGGCTTCGCTGTCTGTTATCGAAACATGAGTGACAGCTGGGGCCCCCCAGGAACTGGCCAGGAACTGGCACTGGCAGCAGTGGCTACCCCTGGTTGATGATTAGTTTGGGGATTCTACTACCCTTTTTACATATATAAATATAAATATATATATATATAATATAATATAATATAATATAATATAATATATAATATAATATAATATAATATATAATATAATATAATATAATATAGTATAGTATAATATAATATAATATAATATACTTATACATATACATATACATATACATATACATATTTCAGAATCCAAGAATAGGGAATCCCTATTAAGCATCCCTTCTCTGAGGTGGGTAAACCATCTTAAGCGGCGAAGCTGTTCTGTCCCCCTTGCACTTGCAGGTGAGGGAAATTTTATTGATGAGGACGAGGAAGACGATTTGGAGTGATGGGCTGTTTTCGAGGGTCCAAGTTGGGGGAAAGCTGTTCTTTTGACGCGAACGGATCAAGTGGGGCTGGAAGACCCTATCGGTCACTGCTCGACATGAAACCGTCATTCTGAGCCAGCTTGACCCAGACACGGACTGGCACTTTCCGTGACGGCAGCAATGTTCTGCCGGACCGGGAGGCCGAGGGCCGCCAGGCCACAGTGATAGCGATGCGACTAGGACTAGGAAGACTCGGGTGACCATGATGATAGGGTGCCAAGACACTTGGGGCCACCACTGGTTCCAAATGGGGAGATATGGTGAGGTTTCCCTGTTTCTTTTTAAACACACATTTGAGGTTGGCTCAAGAAGCAGTATCCAAAAGACTCTAAGCTCACTGAGATTGATGAGAAGGTCGTCCGATGTAATGGATGTTTCACGAGGTGAAATGTTGCCGCGCTCGTGCAAAGCCAGCAATGTACATGGCACAGCCGTAAATGATCTGGTACATCTGGTCTAGTGGTTCACCCCAGTCAAATCTGCAGGTTAATTCATCCCAATATATCCAAAATATAAGTGGACTTAACCTACCCTCTGGTAAACTAACATAACTATGGAAAATCACCATTTTCAATAGCTATGTTAAATTACCAGAGGGTATATACCCTACTTGTGGGGTTACCCACTGGGGTGAAGCACTCAGTAGCTGGGCTACGGCGCCGTGTGCAGCTTTCGCGTCAAGTTTTGGTCGCGCGGCGAGGATGGCCGGGCAGTCGCGGCGGGGTTCCCGCGCTGCGAGTGCAGCTACTTGGCAAAGTATCCGGCAGCTGGACTCCAAGTGCTAGAAATACATTGAACCGCAAGAATTCACACACACACACATATCTAATTATATATATATAAGTAATATATTATGTTTAATTGTGTGTATACACATGTATACACAATATATGCATATATATATATGCACATACACACATATAGCTGAAAAACATCTTGAATTGGGCATCCATTGGTACATTGAAATTCGATTCATGGAACATCCGACGGAGGCGCTGCTAGCGTCCCTGGCTTTCCTCGTCTCCGAGCACGTGAGTTTCGTGCCGGCCGGTGGGAGCCTCTGACGAGGGGGTGCCGGTGGGCCACCACTGGCGCGCTAGCAGTGGTGGTAATCCCAAGAAAATATGAGAGGGACAGATCTACCCTCTGGTAAACATACAAAAAGCTATTGAAAATGGCCATTTATAGTGGATTTTCCCATAAAAAATGGTGATTTTCCATAGTTATGTTAGTTTACCAGAGAGTAGATGATCTAGACATGTATATTTTCTGGTGCTTTTTGCGGGTAACCAGTAGATGTATGATCCTGGAAATTAGGATCTGTTATGATCTACTATTGCTAACACAAAATGCAACTGCAACAGAACTGGACTGGTTGTGGGTCGGGTACCAAGCGAGTGATGTATAAACCCATCCGGTCAGTACCTCCCTTAGGCCTACGTTTTGGCTCGCTTCGGCCTACGTCACAGATACATCATGAGATTTGCAATGGAAGGATATATGAATTCATATATCAGAGCATGTTTTCGACAGACTTGAAGTGGATTAGAGATGCTCATCGGGACATTCAGGACTTATAAGCTGATTCAGTGACCGATGCATTCTGTGCTGATTCTGATGCAGTCTGTCCCGGGTGGATCCGATGGATCCGATGGTATGCCGAACAGTTCGTCTCCTGTACCTCTAGTTGTCCCCAGTGGGGCCCCAGTCCCCAGTCCCACTCCTAAAGATAAACCGTTAAACCCTAAAGCTGTGAATCCACATCCAAGATTGTCGGCCTAAGTGATCCAAAATGGGACCTATAAAAATTTTAAAAATCCACCCCATTTGTGAGTTGTGGGTTCTCATCCACTGGGAAGGGTTAGGAAACATGACACATTTAGCTTTGGGGTGCCTCCATAGCTGGATACTCCTGTCCCAAAGATGTGGTTTCATCTCCTACATCCACCATGGTGTTTCTAGGGTTTGTTTCATATTAGTGAAGGCATTGTTGGGCTAGTGTTATGAGAATTTCTGCGAGTCACACATTGGAAACCACCATATTTTGGTTTTCTCATTTGGTATAGTTGGGTAACGGCCCCTTTGGCTTCACAAAGACGGGCCTTCGATATCAAGGGCTGCACTTCAACAGCTCCATGGCCCATCTGAGTACCAACTCCATAGCTTTGATGCAACATTCATCTTCGTATCTTCAAAGTTTTGAGAAACTAACGCAACTCAGGGATTTTCTCAAGGCCTGCAAGACCAAGAAAACAGATGAACACAGAAAACTGAGTTCTCTAACAAAATTTTGTGAGTGTGGACCACTTGCAAGACCCATAGTTTTTTTTTTCTCTCGATGGAGACATCATGCCTGCTGAGGTGCCATTGGCCCACGGGTGGAAGGATTGCTGCTCGTCCGAGGAGTGAAGTCATAGCGGATCGTTGGCATGGCTTCCGTTTTCAGCAAAGGACTAGCCGCATGTATAAACGTAATTTTGAACGAACTAGCATCGATATTGAAAACAGCCATGCCTTCCGGTCCGATCTACTTACATTTTCCATGTCCATGTTAGTGATAAACCCATAAATCCCAGCCATAAATTCCAGCCATTAATCCCTATAACATCGACATCACCCATGGTTCATCCTGCCATAAATCTCAGTGATACCACGTCGGGTCGGTGCTTTGATCCCACATCAATTGATGGTTGTTTGGTTAATCAACCGTATAGTTATTGATAGCTATGATAGTTATAACATCACCATGGAAAACATAACTGATGATCTATAGTTATTGATAGTTCTAATACACGTTGATATACCCGTATACATCCAAATACATCCGTATACCCATGGGAATCAATACAGAAACGAAAAACGACTATACGACTATCATATAGATAGTTATTGTATAGCATCAACGAGTTCAGGACCCTTAAATGGATGTACTGTACGATGTGAAGCTAGGTTGGGTAGATTTCCTTACAGAGCCCTTACATAGGCCCTGTATGTGGTAGGTACCTCTAGTTTATGTACCTGAAATGGCCATTGATAGCATACTCATTATAGACATCATTATATACATATATACAATATATTATGATAAATATACATATATACAGTAATATATATATATTTCTAATAACAATATATACAGTATATATATATGTATAATGTGTTACTATTGGTAGGTAGGTATATCTCCATTATATCATTGGTTGGACCCGTTCCATCCCAGGTCCAGTCTGCCGGAGCGTCTGCCGGAGCTTGGCGCGCAGATCGTGCCTCGGAAAACCGCAAAGGGCCAGCTGGTGATGACATACTGTGGATGGAAGAAATACTGCAACAGAAAAGGCAACCGTTAGGTAACTATGAAACACAGGGACAATAATGGGATTATAAGGGGATAAACCATATTATATAAAACTGGTGCAGGATTTCGCCACCATCCACAGTATGATTTTCAATTATGATGATGAACAAGTTAGGATGATATATTATATTATTATGTATGATGAACAATTATGATGACATGGTGTTATGACGAATTATGACGAATCATTATGATGAAGTATGATGATATATATATATATATATATTTAAGGGCTGCCGCCCCTGCCGCCGACCCCGGAAAAGAATGTGAAGAAGCCGAGGGAGGTCCACGACCTCGATTCTGTTTTTTAGACACTGCTCAGTTCACTTCTGAGATGATGATGATGACGTGATTTTTCCAGTGCAAGTTGTGGCGGTCACATCAGCATTTGAAACCGAAGATTGATAGCTTTGTGGAAAAGGATACAATACTCTGGAAAAGCCATGGTTTATTTGGAGGTGCATTCATCCAGCATCATGAGTGTCTTGCAAAGCCGCCCTGGTAGCTTCCTACTCCTGGTGAAGGACCTCTTGGAGTACCAGGACTATGCGCCAAATGGATCCATTTATGGCTCGAAATGGAACATGTTTAATCATGTTCATACAGGATCAGGATTCATGCAGGTTCAGTTTTTTTTTCTGTTGGTTGCAGAGCTCGGCCGAAGTGGCACACTGGATGTGGATCGGGTGCTGACGCACTGCAGCACTAGCAGTAGGACCTCCCGGGATTCCAAGATGCCAGCGTCCTCTAGTGACTCTGGTGGTTATGGGCAGATCACGAAATCCTTTTTTTTTTGGGAGGGGCAATTTTGCAGCTTGAGGAACAGCTATATGCTCAACACGGTTGGAAATCTTTAGACGATGTCGGCAAGCGACATGCAAACCGATTTCTGAGTGATGCATACCTAAAAGGTGTTGTGCGCGGGCAGGTCGAATGCTGTAACTTGCGAGCGTATCATCGCGATCGAAAGTTTCCCTGGAGCTGCATTTGCTGAGTTCGTCGCTGCGTACCACCATGAAGCGGCGAGCACGTCGGCATCCAAGCGCACCACGACAAAGTGGACACGGCGACAGGCTTCTGGCGTCCGACATCTAGGTGCCGTCGACATCGTGCAAGTTTACGGTCACCGACCCGTTGCGTCTGAAGTCTGGTGGTTGTCACCTTACGAATTTGTTGCAGAATGGGCAGCCACACTTGCCCGTGTACCAACAACACAACGTGAATGGGATCACGAAGATAAGGCAAGTTGGGACGTTACACTGACACCAGCTGGTATTCACGAAATGCAGCGACAAACAGATCCAGATAAGAAAATACAGTTGCAACCCGAACGCGATTACCAACTAATGGTGTCATGGACACCAAATCGCATTGGTTTACCAGCAACCACCGCAACGAAACAGCTGCGACATCGTTGCTATCTCCAACGGCGTATTCGTCCATGTTGCCCGCACTTTGAAAATTCACCTGTTCCTCTGCAGAACGATGGCCAACGAGAAGCCAACGCAAGATTGACGATAACCTATTTTCGAGCATGGACTTTGCAAGCACCTGTGGCGACGGGAAACGTCCCATTTGTCGGTCGTTTGAAAGCGCCAGAAGAAACTTGGGTTGATGCGTTACGCATGTGGTTGACGCATCTCCCATGTGAAGAAACAAAGCAGTACGTCGGTAACTTTCTTTCCGTGTATCGTGTACGCCCGAGCGGCGCAGAAGACGCAAATAGCGAGGACAGTGGCGTTGACGAGCCTTTGCTTGTCACTCCTACAACACTTCCCACCGCCCTACAAACATCTTTTCGAAAAACAGGACAACAACGAGCCGCGCACACTACAGACCTGCCAAAGGATGCTGACACCAGACTTCTTGCAAGTTATGACGACGCTGCGGCCCGAGCGGTAACGACGTGGCAGAACAATTCCCACCGCGCAGCGAATGAAACCGCACATAACCCATTCGAGGCCAAGGATCTAAAGGCGATCCGAAGAGGGTTGAAGGCTTTAGAGAGTAAATGCAGCAATGCGAACAAGCTGATCCATGACTCACTGCCGGGCGTGTGTGCAATCGAAGCACGGCAAACAAGACAGAAAGTCGATCAATTTTGTCAAGATCTAAGTCAGACAAAGCAATGCAACCCAGAGCAGCTATGCTTCATTGAAACTGTTTGTGCACGAATCAAGCACGAAGCCGCCACGGGGCAAGATCGCGGTGGCGCAGCAGAAACAAACACGGAGGCTCTTCGCTGGGCATTGCATGGCGGGCCGGGCACAGGCAAGTCGTACGTGCTGAACATATTACGCCGTGACTTGTTCGAAAAATGTCTTGGCTGGACTGCAGGCAAAGAATTTCAAGTTGTTGCGTTTCAAGCTGTGAACGCTGAGCCCTTGGATGGTGAGACAATCCACAAAGCTCTCGGACTGTCGTGGCACGGCAACGATCACAACGTTGCCGGACAACGGATTCTGGACCTGGCGCGGCAAGCCGTGCAGTGGCGCTGGCTTCTGCTAGACGAAATTAGCATGGTGAGTGCTGAAATGTTAGCACGCCTCGAAGCCCGCTGTCGGCAACTGGTTTTAGATATTTCCGCAACAAAATATGGCAAACGTACCCCTACCTGTGTTGCGCCCTTCGGTGGCCTAAATGTCATTCTCTCGGGCGACCTGTGGCAGCTACCTCCACCATGTGGAACGTTTCTCGGTCAAATTCCATGGCACCTTGTAACAGGCGTTCCATCTAAGAAATTACCACTAAGTTTGCAAGGCCAGCAGATCGTATGGGCTGCCAGCAGACAAGGTGGCCTACACGGAGTCACAGAACTCATACGGTGCGAACGAACGCAAGATGTCTGGTTGCAGGAGTTGCAAGCTGAACTTCGCGTCGGACACTTATCCGACGACAACCATGCATTCCTACATGGGCGACCTACAAGCGTTCCGGGAAGCTGGTGCACAAAAACGCAGCAGCCCACCTGCGGAGAAAATACATGCTATCGCTTGTACAAGCACGGTTCCACAGCAGCAGCAATTCTCAAATACGAATGTGCAATCTGCCACTCCGAACGAGAAAGTAAGCGTTTGGTTGCGGTGGCTCCAGACGACCCTCGGTTTGCGGAGAGTTTCAGGTTCGCCCGCGGAATTTTCCACACGAACGGGGTGAAGTGCCACGTGAATAAGCTTCGCGCAGAACAATGGGCGCGGCAGCAGGGGCAAGTCATCTATTATGCAGTGGCTACGGACAAGGTATCATCACGAGCTTTGCGCGAGAAGCCTGACATCGCCCAAGACAAGCTCACATGGCTGCAACGCAGCGACGCCGACTGCGGCAACCGGTACGGCGTCCTTCCGCTGTGCATTGGTATGCCGGTACAAGCGCGAGAACATCTCTACCGCAAAGAATTCAAGATTTTGAAAGGGTGCCATGGAACAGTCTGCGGGTGGTCTCGCGTCGAAACAGAAACAGAATCAGCAGACGGAGCAGTCATTTGGAACAAACTTCCTGAGTATATTTTTGTGCGTTTTGAAACACGCACACGGTGGACTATCCCAGGCATCGATGAAGAGAACGTCTTTCCAGTCAGCGTGCAAAGTGGACTGTGGTTTTTGGACGCGGGCCGCGCCAACCCACGATTGAAAGTGACTCGATACCAATTTCCAATTGCGCCCGACTTCGCTGACACGTTCTATGGCGCGCAAGGAAGCACAATAGAGCCGGGCGTGATTGTGGACATGATCGGTGCAGACCCAATAGCGGCTTACATTGGGATGACGCGCTGCCGCACACGGCAGAAGATCTTGATCTACCGTCCGTTCCCGCTGGCGCCTTTTCAAGAGGGCCTGCCGCTCGGAAGGCAACTTCTGCTTGACGTGTGGAAGCAGGAACCGGTGGACTGGGACGCGTTGCGCAAGAAGTACTTGGACGAAAGGCCTTGTCAAGAGTGTGGGGAGATGAAACGCAAAGACGCATTTACCAAAGCGCAATGGAAACAAGAAACATACCGCGTTTGCAAAGAATGCACCGCGCAGAAGCGCGAAGCAGGAACACCATATAGATGCACACAGTGCGGTCTGTGGCACGCGGCTGCCCACTTTGCAAGCAAGCACCAAAACCCCCGCTGGAGCATGTATCGCGTGTGTCTGTCGTGCGATACCAAAAAAGCATGTTTTGTTTGCCAAAGCAAACAAACGAAAGAACACTTCGGCGCCTCAGCGTGGATGGCACGGGAGCCCAAGCGAAGAGTATGTTTCCAGTGCCAAACGAAAACGCGTGGTTCTTGGAAGTGCGCAGCATGTCAGCAACGCAAACCGCAGCAGCAATTTTCTGATTTCAGTAGAAAGCGGTCTTCTGGCAAAAACGGTGCACAAACATGCAATGCATGTCGCACCGTTCTTGCGCAAGCTGTTCTCCGCAAGCGGGCTGCTGCATCGAACATAAGCCGACTGGAACCTCTTCGCAAAAAATTGCGTCAGACCCACGTGCTACGCGAGACATGGGAAGCGATTGCAGAATACAGACAACAACGCACGAGCCAGACCATGACGAGCGAAAAAGAAGGTACACATGAGATTGCAATCCCAAAAGAAAGAGAACAAAGTCCACCACCAGAAAAGAATTATGTGTACGTATGCCCTTTCTGCGAGAAATCTATTACTACTTCAATTGCTTCCGGACATGTCGACCACCGACGCGTGTGCGGGAAACAATTTCGCGTGCAGGATGGAGTTCTTCGGCCGACAGCCCACTTTTCGCATACATGCCCTACTTGTGGAACCTGCGTCCAAAGCACCAAAGAATTTGGGCGAATCAAAAGCAAACACAAACAATCCAATGGTCGCGCGTGCCGCCGAACGGAATGGCATGCAAAGTAACAACAAAGAAGCTCGCAGCATGAAAACTTGCAACAAGAAAACA